TATAATTATTGATGTTTGTTTTTCTTCCTGTCTTTTGATTATGTATTTAATTAAAACTTTCGATGACCAATAATACATACCCGTTTTCTTTGTTTAAAACCATTTGTGTGGTTTTACCTGAGCACTGTCCATTCGTATTCCCGAATAAATCACTCTAATACGCCGGTTAAGGCAGTTTTTTGGAGAATGTTTCTTACGTAAATGCCTGTGCATGACAATGAAAAACATAAACAGATTCAACAAATTCGGAGCTCCATGTGGTCTGTAGTTTTCCTATGGGCTTTGCTGCTATTGTTTACTCTCTGTGAGTATTGTTAACGTTTTTATCACATAGACAACAAAATAAACTTTTATATGACATCCAAAAGTCTGGGATGATGCAAATTATGATTTTATAGTTAATTTACACCCCAGAACACACTGTAGTTTAGATGTAATAAACAGGACTGACTTTTTTATTATTATTAAAAGCTGCATCAGGGTGACCTGTAGTAAAAGCAATGCAAATAGAGTACCCTTCACTAATGTTGGCACCCTTGGTAAATATGAGCAAAAGTGGCTGTGAAAATAAATCTGCATTGTTGATCCTTTTGATCTTTCTTTTTTTTTTTTAAATCACAAAATCCGAACCTATCATTGAAGTAAAACAATGGAAAATCTCCATTTGAAATAAATGTTTTTCTCTCACGTTGGCCACAATTGTTTGCACCGAATTATTGCAACGCCTTTTGGCCAAGATAACACCTTGGAGTTTTCTCCTATAAGGCATGAATGAGTAATAATAATGAGTTTGGAGAACACCTGGCAAGAGATCATAGACCAATCTTTCAAACAGAATCACTCCAAATGCCTCAGATTCACATCTCCATGTTGATACGTCTACTCTTCAGTTCACCCCACTCATTTTCTATAGGGTTCAGGTCAGGGAACTACCATGGCTGAAGCTTCATTTTGAGCTCAGTGACACATTTTTGTGTTGATTTTAATGTTTGTTTTGGATCATTGTCCTGATGGATGATTCAACCATGGCCCATTATACAATTTTTAACAGAGACAGTTTAGATTTTTTCGTGTACAAGATATCAAAAAATAAATAAATAAAATAATAAAATGGGCCCACAACATTAAAGATCCAGCAGTATATTTAACTGTGGATATGGGGTATTTTTTATCCCTGTTTGCACCTGTTTGTGGTGGGTTTGCTGCCAAAAAGCTATTTTTTTAGTTTCATCTGACCATAGAAGCCTGTTGCATTTGAAGTTCCAGTTTTGGCTGATAATTGAATTTGCTGGAGTTTGTTTTTGGACGAGCAAGGAGGATTTTTCTTGAAACCCTCCTGAACAACATGTGGTAATGTAGGGGCTGTTTGATATTTTTTTAGGTTTCTGACCCCAAGACTCAACTCTTGCCTTTGCTCATATTTTACAAAGAGTGCCAATATTAGTGGAGGGCACTGTATACCATGAGTTGGTCATCCTGAGCAGTAGATCAGATTTTTATCTCAAACAGACAGTAGTTCCTCTATTTGTGCTTACATTCACATCATTCACTTAGCTTGTGCTTTTATCACTTCCTGAGGAACAATATACTTTAGTATATAGTAACTGGCAATTGAAACATTTTCTGTTTGCATAAAAATGGCTCAAGTGAGAAAGATATGTCACTAAAGAGTAATTTACACCAATTAGCATCATAGCGCTGTTGCCAATCAAATGAAAGCAGTATCATCAAAATTCATCTTTGCTCTACAGAGGTGGCACAGAAACTGCATCTGAAGTGGCGTTGAGGTGTATTTACACTGACTGTTTAGTGCAGCTCAGTTGTAATGAATGCATTTACACTCCATTTATAATTGTATAAATGATGTTATGAGATTAATGTTTTTAAATGAGATTAATGAGATTACTACATAAAAATTTTGAATATAGAAATGGAATTAAATTAATTTGTTGACTGGCTGATTCATTCATGAACCAAGTGTCATCAACCCAATTCATTCAAAAATGCTGAATCAATTAAGAACCAGGCGATAAAACAGTAAAAATTTATAATTTTGTGTGTGAAATTGTCAGTTAGATCAATTAAACTTTGTTTTGCAATACAATTTTTTAAACTGGAAAAACCTGCAATTATTCTTTTACAGGTGGACATTTTGTTAGGGAGTCTTTACTGCCGATGCAAAATGAATAGTCATTCTCAACCTTTGATATCACTTGCTGTCTGCAAATTGTGGTTTGAGGTTAAAGGTCTGATGTACCAGAAATGTTTTTGCATGAGGTGGGTAGAGACTATGTAAACTCAGAATGAGTAGTTCTGAAAAACTAGTGGTAGATAGTATGTTTCACATTTACATTCAGTTCCAACTTCATCAACAAGCAAAGACAGAATGCCGTTCTTCATTAGGCTACTTAGTTGTTAAGGTCATCTACATTGGATATCTTATTTGGTGTGTGAAGAGATGAAGCGAGGACTCAAGTGCAGGACGAATGGTTCTTTCTTTAATAATAAAATGAAACAAAAACAAACTAAAACAACCCCGAGGGGGGAAAACATACAGGCAGGCTACGAACTGCACAACACACAGACATAACACACACAATGAAAAACGACGGATCAGCACAGGATTACAGACACCTGGGCTGCGTTCAGTCCCGACAAAAATGGAGCAAAAGATTTTTTAAACGGAAACGGCGGTGCGTTGAACACCCTGTTCTGATGACTCAAGAGTTGCAACTATGGCAGCTGAGAAGGCCATTCTTTGTGTTGTTGTTTTTTTGAAGAATTTTCGAAGCCTGATGAAATCGGTATAAATACGTGTTTAATACTGCAAAATACACTCGATGTTACAGTCATTGCCCTTGCCGTCCAGAATAAAAGAGAACATCCCAATCGAGTGAAGGGATTTGTGGAAACTGTGGTTCCTAATTTTTGTGATCCAACATTTGCCTCGCATTTCAGGATGAAAAGACAAACATTTCAGGTGAAGGATAATCCACTTCTTACCTCCGAGACTGTGTTATGATCTATATGACCTTATTATTTTTATTGTGAGTATTAGGCTTATCATTATTGCTGATCACTGTTGTTGTGCTATGATATTGTAATATTTACCATTTTATAATCAGAGCAGTATAGAAAAGTTTATGAAAGTGTCACTCCATAATACAATAGCAAAACATATAAATATGTATAGTATTTTTATGTTACATTAATCAGTGTCTAGCACACCTTCCTAAGGAAAGGATATGGACCAGAACACATTGTGTGGGCTGTCTCTTTAATACCGCGTGGTTTACATACACGTTGTGTATGTAAACCCACCAAACAAGAGAAAACGCATCTCAAACCCCCTTGCACACCGTTTCCAGGAAACATGCCGTTCAAACCAGAAACCGTAGTAAAACAGTGCACACCGTTTTGAGCTTGAACTTGCCCCAGGAGAATAAATAGGAAACCAAATGAGGAGGCTAGCGAGGGAGACACAGGTGGAGCAACTTAAACAATAATGAGGTAACAAGATGGGCGGGGCAAGACAATAGACAGGAGAGAGCACATGGCACCAAACAAACACAACACAAGCCATGTGCTCACAGAAAACAGTGTCATCTGGTGGCCATCTTGGGCACACTCGCTGAAGACTGTGACAGTCAGGAGGTGTTCTTTCTCTCAAAGTAATTTATTGCTGTTTATGTTTCAGTAAATCAAGCCAATGCCTTAACAGTCAACTACACATTGTTTCTGTTAGTAGCATGAAAATAATCAGTTATTTAATTTGTGATTAAATTATATATAGAAAGCAATCAAAGAACGCTCCCTTTATAATCGCTATAGCTATCAATCACACAGCACCATTTTATATTCAATGACGTAGTCTACACTGCACAATGAATCTCTTATTTACATCGTGTTTGCACTGTTAGTTATGATGAAAGCATCTGTGAAAATATTAAACTTGAGTTGCAATGATGACATCCGCTACAGTGCTCATCGCTGCGATCTTTCATGCGACGGGATATAATGCTATAATCAACACTTTCCATGATTAGTTAATCTCAACAGATGTAATAGTAAGAACCTGGGAAAAGTTTGGGAGAGAGCTACACATTTAATGCTTATTTCATATGCAAAGAAGCCATTCATAGCAAGGGACGTTTCCATTGAAGTCTCACAGCAGACACGCCCCTTCCACCAGAACGTTCAAGTCAGAATGCTAAAATCAGGGTTAGGGTTAAAATCATACTAACATAATAAGTGCACTTCAGGAAACATTATCAAATAATTTTTAAAAAATGCAGTTCATGACCCCTTTAAAAATATGGGTTCCAGTCTTTCCAGTGTTTAAACTGAAGTGCAAGTATAGTAAAAGTGAAAGTAAAAATAATCATTTCTTCTGCTTGTCATACAGCACTTGGTAAAGATTCTCCATCAGGTTAATTTCACTTTACCAACTTAGTAACTATAAAAGACATACAGTTGACTACCAAACATGAGAGGCCAAAGCTTGAGCTGCATCTGTGGTCACACAAATATGTAAGAATAATAAAAAAAGATAAGCTTATTCTTGTGACTTCTCCATAATTCTCCACTGATACATTTGAATAATGTACATAATGCCGAGCACTTAACAGTTATTTTTGTTCTAAACACGGGAAGATTGAATTTATAACCCATGTTGTGAGTTTAGACGTGTGATGCTGACAGGAGGGATGAGGTTAAAAAAAAGAGCAAGATTCACTGTCACAAGGTTCCAAAAATGTGCTTTAGTGTGGTGAAATACTCCTCTTGATATGTCATGTATCTCATCATAGTAAATATGAGATCACAAGGTGGTGCCTGCAGTCACAGAGTATTTTGGATATTAGACAGAAAATGGAAAGTGGTAACTACTCCTCCCCTACAACCTACAACTCACTCCCCATTTGCTGACTACTTTAACTGAAAAGGTATATGACACCAGAGTACAGCAATACATACACACATCTCTGCAGAGAATAGGCAGTTACAACCAAAATCCAATAATCAGAAGAATGGACCCCAGCCAGTCTTTCTATCAGCCTCCAGGGGCCTACAATTCATCTGAGAAATCAGTGATGTTCCAGTCAGCTGCAGCACCACCAACATACCAGGACAATCCTGCTGGATATCCTCCTTCCATTCCAAGCCAGCCGGTCCCCCAGGGCCCCTACGTCCAGGGGCCGTATCCAGGACAAACTGTGGTTGCTGTACAGCCTGCAGTTTTTGTGACTGCCGCTCCACTGGCCAATCCAGCGCCAGATTACCTGGGTTACTCCATCTTTACCATGCTGTGCTGCTGTTTTCCTCTGGGCATTGCTGCGCTTGTCTACTCGTGCTCTGTAAGTATATTAGTACATGTGCTTTCCTTTTCTTTATGAACTAGAAGTTCAAGATTATTTATTTATTTATTTGTTTATTTATTTTGGCCCTTTAACAGCCACAAATAAAATGTATATATATATATATATATATATATATATATATAAATGTATATATAAATGTATTTTTGAATACTGCTGTGATTTATTTTTTTTACCTAACTTCATAACTAAAAAAGGAGATACAATCAGGAGATGAAAAGATAAAAAGGAGAGGCTAAAGCCTCTGTTGTCACACAGTATGTATGTAAATAAGACAAGTTCATTCATGTAACTTTCACATAACTTCCATGCTCTACCGATAAATGCATTGGTTCAGTTTTTTTGGTTTCCCGTAAATGACTGTCGGTTGTAGAAAAAGGTGTGGTGCTGGAGACCCCCTCAACAGCAACAGACTTAGAACTTTAAAAAGGTTCTTATTTTACTATTTCAGTCTTTCTATTTAAAAATGTCAATTTTATTTCAACATGTTACTTGCAGCTTCTTTGCAGCCTAATTGTGAAAATTGTTTTAACCATTTAACCTAACTATTTTTTTTTCAGTGTAGCACTTACCATAGTTTAATTTCCTTCTTTAAATGAAATCTCCTAAATCTAAACAAAGAAACGGCAATTAACGCAATGGGTTAAACTTGACATTTGAAGTTGAGCTTGATGGTTCAGGTGTGTTACAACTGGGTTAAAACTAATGGCAAACTGTTGTATGCCTTTGTTAATACAATAATGCAGCCTGATCAGTTCGAACTGATAGAAATGAACCGACTAATTACAAAGCAAACAACTCAGAATTATGAGCTGTGAGTTCTGGTAAAAAAAACTAATTAATTAATTAATTATTAGTTTCTTTATTTATTTATTTTGTGAGCACTCAGATCAGCTAAATAAAAGGTTTGGTCCTTCAGGATTTGATGGCCAAAGGTTTGATAAGAAGATTAACCAGATTAACAGTAATGGGCAATACTGGCCAATAAATAAATTAAATTAAATTAAATGTTAAAAAACATATATATATATATAAACTTGATTATATGTTGTGGGGCTGGTGACATGATCAAGCTTATATCACAATATGAGTCATTGTTTTTCATGATAACAATATATCACAATTAGCTTCGGCTACAAGCACTATGGTACATGCATGGGATGATTGTTTATTTACATTTTCATCTATGTTTATTGTATCTGTCCCTAACAAATAAAACATTAATAACAATATAGTTACGTTTTGCTTTATGTAAGGTTTTTATTATCAAAATTTTGCTATAATAGAACAAATAAACAAATTACAAACAATATGTGAAAAACTTCAAGCACTATAAAATAAAAAAAGAAATGCTACTTAAACGTATTAAAATGAATGCACCTATTCTATTCTATTCTATTCTGTTCTATTCTCAGTGGTAGAGCATTGCGTTAGCAGCACAAAAGGTCGTGGGTTCGATTCCCAGGGAACACACATACTGGTAAAAAATATATAGCCTGAATGCACTGTAAGTCACTTTGGATAAAAAAAGCGTCTGCTAAATGCATTAATTATTAAATTATTAATTAAATTAAATTAATTAATTATTAAATTAAACGTCATTTGAGCATAACGCATATTGTCTTGATAAAGACAATAGTCCATAATCTCAACCAGTTGACAAATTTCTACCGGTTTATCACGCCTACTCTCACGGCAATTTGTACATATTTTATGAGGTGGCTAATTTGTACGACCTCACTTATGCAAACTCATACGATTTTTGTGAAATTGTACGTATATTACGAGTTGCACAATTCATATGAATTTGTACGAATGACCTACACCCAATGCCGAGTTCACACTGCACGATTTTAGCCCGATTTTTCACTCGCCGACAGGTTTTGCGAAATCACGACAAATGCCCGAAATCAGAGGCAAATCGGTGCTCGTTCACGCGAGTGACAATCACGCAGTGTGAATTATCAAAGACGCGATCTGAAGGAATCGCCGACATGTCGCAGACGCCCGCAAAATATTTGGCATGCTAAATATCTGGAGCTGTCGGCGATTCACAATCACGCTGTGTGCAATAATTTCTGACTGAAAACTACATTGATGATGACCTACAGCCAATGAGAGACCAAGATACAGGGCAGAGGGAAGTTCGAGGAGGTGTTATAGACCAGAATATCAGTATTTTAATAAATATATGAACAATTATATCATACAGAAACAAGCACAAACATTTGCTTGCCCAGCCACAACATCAGCATAACAGTTACTGCAAAATTATTTACCTCCAACTCTCTTTGCAGAACACCCAATCCCTGTTCCCTGCATCTCCCTCCTGCATAATCCGTTTTTCTTTTTCTCCTTGGTGGGTTCGATTCCCAGGGAACACACATACTGGTAAAAAATATATAGCCTGAATGCACTGTAAGTCACTTTGGATAAAAAAAGCGTCTGCTAAATGCATTAATTATTAAATTATTAATTAAATTAAATTAATTAATTATTAAATTAAACGTCATTTGAGCATAACGCATATTGTCTTGATAAAGACAATAGTCCATAATCTCAACCAGTTGACAAATTTCTACCGGTTTATCACGCCTACTCTCACGGCAATTTGTACATATTTTATGAGGTGGCTAATTTGTACGACCTCACTTATGCAAACTCATACGATTTTTGTGAAATTGTACGTATATTACGAGTTGCACAATTCATATGAATTTGTACGAATGACCTACACCCAATGCCGAGTTCACACTGCACGATTTTAGCCCGATTTTTCACTCGCCGACAGGTTTTGCGAAATCACGACAAATGCCCGAAATCAGAGGCAAATCGGTGCTCGTTCACGCGAGTGACAATCACGCAGTGTGAATTATCAAAGACGCGATCTGAAGGAATCGCCGACATGTCGCAGACGCCCGCAAAATATTTGGCATGCTAAATATCTGGAGCTGTCGGCGATTCACAATCACGCTGTGTGCAATAATTTCTGACTGAAAACTACATTGATGATGACCTACAGCCAATGAGAGACCAAGATACAGGGCAGAGGGAAGTTCGAGGAGGTGTTATAGACCAGAATATCAGTATTTTAATAAATATATGAACAATTATATCATACAGAAACAAGCACAAACATTTGCTTGACCAGCCACAACATCAGCATAACTACTGAAAAATTATTTACCTCCAACTCTCTTTGCAGAACACCCAATCCCTGTTCCCTGCATCTCCCTCCTGCATAATCCGTTTTTCTTTTTCTCCTTGTAGCTGTAAATCAGCTCACAGACAATTTGCGGGCTATATATATATTTTTAAATAATTCCAGTCTCGCTCGAAAACTCCGGTCTGACGCACGCGGTTCTCGCGTTATTTCTGTTACGGGGCTGACGAGACGTGAGACGTGAGGATCCATGTGCAAGTTTTATTTAAAGCAGAGAGGTCAGAAACACAGGCAGGGTCGAACAATGGCAAATAGGTATTTGGCGGGCAAGACACAAGAATAATCCTAGGGCTAGCCAAGGTCAATGAACGGCGAACAGAATCAAAAGGGCGAGACTAAAGGGATAAATCCAGGAAAACAAGCAAAGATCAGAAACCGAGAAAACAGACAAGGCTAGGCAAGGCTAGGCTAGGCTAGGCTAGGCTAGGAAGCTAACGAGGGCTCTGTAGTGTAGCTATCACTGCTGGTGATAAGCGCATACAATACTCGGCAGGTGAAGGGAGTGAGATAGAGTGTTAAATAGTGAGTGAGTGATATGATACAGCAGTGTGCAATCAGTGCTGTGTGCAATCAGTGTAATGAATGATGAGATATGTAGTCCGGGGTGATATGCAACAGTGTAGTGCGAGAGTCAATGAAGTGGAAAGGGTGACCTCTGATGGCTAGCAGACGGAAGTTCATGGACCGGATACGTAACAATTTCCTTATCACTTCTCGCCAGACAGAGCTGTCGGCGATTCTTTCTATTGTGAAGTCATGCAATGTGAAACCCCTTGTCGCCAATCCATCATGCAATGTGAACACAGCTGCAACTGAATGCTAAACCAGATAGTCACGCAGTGTGAAAACAACAGCGATCTGACGAGTTTGAAAATCGTGCAGTGTGAACTCGGCATAACCCCTGCCCCTAAACCTACTCGTCACTGGGATGTAGACAAATCATACAAAATTATATGAGTGAGGTCGTACGAATTTGTAAGAATTAGCCACCTTGTAAAATGCATACGAATTGGTCATGAGATAGCATTGGTATATCACCTACACCTATATTGGTGTGACTTTGTTTTAATAAATAAACATGAACATATCATGCATGTTGACATCACACAAGGTAGTGTTTAAAACACATTTAACCTGGAAGCCCTCCATCAAATGAAACTCAAACAAACTCTACAGAGTGACGTTTACTCCCTCTTTTGAAAACTTCCCCATCTGCCATTGACTCAAAGAAACTCAGAATGAGAAGAGTATTTGTTGACATTATATGTTTCACAATTGTTTTCACAGACTCGAGATGCCAACTACTCAGGACGGCGAGAATTAGCAGAGAAGAACTCAAAAACGGCACGCACCCTGAATCATGTCGCTGTTGCTCTTGGCCTCATTATCATTGTAGTGTATATTATATATTACTTTGTGTTGATTAACAATATGAATCAGCGTACTTAACTGTTAGAGCTGTCATGCTTGGATGCAGATTATACAAACAAATTGAATTCTCTTCATTTGAAATGTTATTTGCTTAATGTGTCACATTTCACACAGTTAAAACATGCTGCAAAGGCTGATTATTGGATGATTAAAACAATAAAAGCTTGTCAAACAAAAAATAATAATTTTTTGTTTTTGTTAGGGTTAGGATTTAAACTAAACAAGGAAAGGAAAATGACCAAATAAGAAACACAGAAAGGCACATGAGGAGCAAAATACACACAAAACACGGACCAGAGTCTGACATAACTCCCCCCTCCCGGAAGGCGTGTCCCGCACCACAACATCCAACGGGGAGGAGGGGTGGGCAGATCTGGCAGTTCGGGGCGCCATGGTGGATCTGGCAGCTGTGGGCGCCATGGCGGATCTGGCAGTTCGGGGCACCATGGCGGAGCAGGTGACTCGGGAGGTCATGACGGAGCAGGGAGCTCGGGGAGCCATGGCTGAGCAGTTAGTTCAGGAGACCATGGCTAAGCAGCCTCTGAGGCTGCGGCCCCAGCCCCCGCCTCTGCCTCTACGGCTGGAGCCATAGTCCCCCCCCCCCAAAATACTTGGAGAAATGTAGGGGGTTGTATTCGGGGCCTGGAGTCCTCCCTGGGCTGAACGGGGGATCAGGAGCCCTCCCTGGGCTGAACGGGGGAACAGGAGCCCTTCCTGGGCTTGAATGGGGAACAGGAGCCCTTTGTGGGCTATACTCGGGACCAGGAGCCCTTCCTGGGCTGAACTGGGGATCAGGAGCCCTTCCTGGGCTACACTCGGGACCAGGAGCCCTTACTGGGCTGAACTGGGGATCAGGAGCCCTTCCTGGGCTACACTCGGGGACAGGAGCCCTTCCTGGGCTGAACTGGGGATCAGGAGCCCTCCCTGGGCTACACTCGGG